CGTCATTTTCTCAAGCACGATAACAACTATAGCAGACATGGCTTTATCATGGATTTCACTGACCATGGATAATGTTTTTGATGGATATTATACTCTCTTTTCTGAACAAATGACTACACAAATATTTCCTTGAGGGAGCACCGTAGTATTGTTTTGAAAAACGATTCCTCAGAACACGTAGAAGAAAGAATTCACTGCATGATATTCACACATCTTTGTCGAAACGGTTTGTCACTAAGATGTATTCTTCTGTGATTCATGTGCAAAAATCAGGTGAACTGAACATCATTCAATGAAATAGAAAAAATTAATCTGTCGTCATTTTTCATATTTCTATTCAAAAGCGTGAAAAATTTGCAGTAAGGTATTTCTCTGTATTGCTTTTTATGTTAATCACATAGATTCAATATTCAAGAACAAACTATATTTTTTCATAAATTCCCTTCTAAATAACGAAAACTACGGTTTGAGTTCAATACACTCTAGCGCACAATTATTTTCAGAGCGTCTTCTATTACGAAACGTTGCCCGGTATAAATTTATGAACATAATGTGAGTTGAATATTGCTGCCACAGTTTGTAAATACAATATAAAGTTGATTCATACTTTGAAGTAGTGTTGACTTTTTGTTTTTGTCATCAACTTCATATAAAAATAGTTTGAAAAGGATTTTGGAGAAAAAAACCTTGTGAACTAGTACGATAAAAAGTGAATAATCAATAAAAAATACTGGGTATATTCAAGAGAGATAATATTGTTGAAGAAGTCGTACTGTTTTTTTCGAATTTTCAATTTCCGAAAAGAGAATATTTCAGTGAACTTGTAGAATTCTTAAAAAAGATTGTACTTAATTATGATAACGAAAAACTGCTAAGATGAAATTAAGTAAATTTTATGCTGGCATATGAATGCTTCTCTCTCCTCTCATTTTTGATGTTTTTGTTATGAAAATTCGCAGTGGTAGCACTCATAAAATACAATTAGTGAGTTTTCCTGTTTGAAGCTCATGGACGCCCAGATTAGCATTGTGTTCGCCGTATTCTTTAAGAGTACCATTTATTCTGAAACTCTTCGTTAGTCAAGCCTGACCGAACGAATACTGTTTTGCAATACTATCAACTTCAGACACAATTCATCCAAATTTTGCCAAATCCAACGGCTTCTCTGTCACGAAAGAAGAATCGAATTACTTCCCTTGGTATAGCTTGCTTCCGTGCATCCTCTTATCGACAACAGACTTCTGTTGAGAACTCTATTTTTCCAGCAAAATTGAAGTAAAATTTCAGTCCGAAGACAAATTTTGTATCTTTGATAACAACTTAATGTCAGAATGTTTAGCTCGTGTAAACGATTCACCTCAGATAGTGGCATCCAACGTTATTTTAGATTTGTTTTTGGTCATATTTCAGAAAAATGTTTACTGTGAAGAGGGCCAAAATAAAAAAAATCATTGACCGAATAGCAGTATAGTTCACAGTCGTAATGGACACCAATATTGACAGATATCGAGATTCTTTGATTATATTATTTGAATGGATAATAAAACTCTAATTGGTTGAAAACCAATGAGATTGATGGACATGAAGAATTATTAAGTGTGTTACTCGAAGTGAATTCAAGACTTTGATTTCGCGAAAGATGAAGATTTAACGACTGCAACGCATATTGGTATACTGAAATGACTACCCATAAGATATTATTTTTATGAAAGAAATGGTTTATGGAATTTTCGAGTACTGGTGTAAATAGGCTTCTGATATGTCCTAGTCAAAAAAGCATTAAAGATTCTTTAAGGAATGCTAAATTTCAGTGATTTTCCGGGATCGTTAGCTTGTCTGATGATTTTTGAGAGTTTTTGATAAGTTTCCAAACGCTCGGAAACCTTTCTCCAGAAACTCTTTAAGGGTTTCATAGAGTGACAAACCAAAAAACCTCCTATAGGTTACCGAGAATACCTATTTTTTTAGAGTGTGTTGATATGTATTTTCCGTTAAAATTTCAATCCAAACCAATGCACTTCTGGTGAGATATGAGTATCACAAAAAAATCAAATAAAACATGGTTTTGTAGGAATAGTACCCTCAGAAATCTTTAAATATCTCGAGAACGAAAAAATATTTTTTTCAAACAGCTTGCGTCAAAGTTTTTGAAACTCTTTCCTGTATAACATATCTTAATCTGCGTAAAATCAAATGCTTCCGGTTGAGCAGCTTCTGTAGAAGTCGTTCATGGCTTATATGGAGTGGCTCTTAACATAGGATCCTAACAGATCCTTTCATGTAGTATGAAACAATGAAAATTAGAAAATACAGAGATGAAAACACCTGGTTTTATGGAAAAGGATAATGTTGAACACTTTTGACAACAGTTTAGCATGTTTTGAAAAGTCCCTTTAAAATACAATTTTCTAATTTGGTAAGAATTTTATGGTAGAGTGCATGTGATTTCTTCAATAGTGCTGATAATTATCATTCCATTCGTTTGTTCATTTATAGTCATTCCAAGCATTTCATCGGACGCGAGATGGACACAAAATGGTGTGACTGTTGCTGGAGGTCACGGACAAGGCACAGCTAACAATCAACTCCGCTGCCCTTGGGGTTTCTTCCTTGATGATGATGATGATCAAACGATGGTCATTGCTGACACCTATAATGATCGTGTCCTACAATGGAAGACAGTCGATATGAGTGGACAAGTATTAGTTGGTACCCATTGCTACGGGAAAAGATTAAATCAGTTGTATAATCCAACCGATGTGCTGATCGACAAAGAGACGGACAGTCTCATTATCTGCGATTCAGGCAATCGACGAGTTCTACGATGGTCTCATCGTAGTAGCACTACTAAAGGAGAAGTTCTTCTCGACAACATCCGTTGTTGGAGTTTGGCCATGGATGATCAGCGATATCTCTACGTATCCGACGTCGATAAACATGAAGTCAGACGGTATCAGATAGGAGACAAAAATGGAACTATTGTAGCTGGTGGACATGGAAAAGGTAATGGTCTAAATCAACTCAATCGGCCGACTTATATCTTTGTCGATTGCAAACAGGCTGTTTACGTGTCAGACAACGAAAATCATCGTGTGATGAAATGGAATAAAGATGCAACGGAAGGAACTATCGTCGGTGGGGGTCAAGACAAGTGGAATCCTCTGACACGATTGTCATTTCCTAATGGACTGTTCGTCGATGCATGGGATACTCTCTATGTGGCAGACTCGGGGAATGATCGAATAATGCGTTGGCCTAAAGGAGCGAAAGAAGGCACGATAATTCTGGGTGGAAATGGTTGGGGGAGAAGGTCAAATCAACTTCACAATCCCATGAAGTTGTCCTTTGATCGATATGGCCATCTCTATGTCGCCGATCTGGATAATCATCGCATTCAACGTTTTTCTATTGAATAGACTCACCAATGTTGCTGATTTTTCCTCTATCACTTCGAAAACAATTAATAAAAAAAGAAAATGGTTCTTCAAAAAAGATGAATGATTTTCTTATCTATCCTTTTTGAGCATACACAACCAGGGACTGTGCCGAGGGTGCCGCGACGATGCAAAGACCGTAGACATAAAAGACATCCTCATGTGTAGATGACATGTAAATGAGTTCGCTGAAAACTTGGTTATGTGACACATTAACCATAATAGTTCCTATCCAACCTTTTGAAGTCTACCCGAATGGTATTCATATAGAAAAGGTCTCTATAATGGATCTCAATGGGAATGGCACATCCGCCTCACTTAAACATGAATACCCTATCCTAAGTTTACTCTCGTTGCGTCTATCATCATCAAGCCTTTTTCTCTTAAAAGAAAAGACTAAACAACTCACATGTTTGATAGTTGGGTAGGTAAAACTGATTCCCAGAATGTACAGAAACGATGAAATTCAAAAAATTAATTCGAGAAAAATACAACTTACTTGAAATTTGTATTATTTTGACGTAACTCGATACTATTCCACGGATTTGTTCGGATTTGAACTATCTGTAGAATAATGCTGAGTCTCTCTGCGGTTCCTATCTGATTAGCTAATTGAAACAATCAATCAGATTTCAGGGCCGTTTTTCTCGGTTGCATTTCAAGTGAGAAATAGTTTTATGGGTGAAAAATCTTCTTTATGTATACTGTCAGTTGTCTGTCTTCGATGGGATCAAAGGTCGATAGTCGTAAGTCAAAGTGCCGGCAGACGTAAGGTACAGTTGCATGTGTGGCTATTGATAGCTGAGATTGACTGTTGATGTAGACCTAGGATTTTCATTCTACGTGCGGTGCGTGCGGATGAATGACGCTTCGATTGTGTTGGATGTCATGCTGTAACACACCAGACTTACATATAAATCGTTACTCGACACTCCAAAACAATCTTGATGGGCATATCCATGTCAGCTAAGTTACTTTCGTTGAAGTATTGAATGTAAAGGTTCCAATCACTTCTTTGCCTATTTATTCTGGACATCAAAAGGCTGGTTTCTTCTGATTCGAATAACCAGCCCTGTAATATGCAAAGAAATCAACGGGAAAAAAACGGAATCCTGAATTCTTCTGGTTTCCCTGGGATTCTCTAGGATTCCATGGGATTCTTTTGAATTCCTCAAAACTCCTCTAGATTTTCAATAAGCTTCTAAAGCTGTCAAACGACTCCATCTGTATCACCGTCAGGTTTCCATGCCGATAATTTTCTTTCTATTTTCTTTATTCTATTCGTTTGTGGTTATTGACACATGTATATATCGATGACTTATTATTCGTTTGCTGAGTTGTAGTTCATAGGATCACATTATCTCTACTAGAAACGTTGCTACCGAGTCGATCTCCTCATTTATCTATCAATAGATTCAGATCGATTTATCTTATCAGATGTCTAAGTATATAACTGCATCAGTGAAATTCTTTTATTAATAAAAAATTTTTGAGAGTTTTGACATCAATAATCATATAATTGATGTTTCAATATACACAAACGGTCGAATCATTTTTTATTTAATTTTACTTGCTTCCTTCCATAACTCGTGAGAACCTATCGGTTGACAGACGCTCATGTTTGTCAGTCAACAGCCATACTACTGACTGTTTATGTAACAATTTCGTCGTATCATTAATTTTCACTTTGAAATATGAGTTTGCTAAATCACGATTAATTGTATCATTGATACATGTTCCAGAAAATATTGTTTTTATACATTGAACACGTTTAGCATTTTCTTCATTATCAGGTGCAGCATCCTCATCTTCATCACTACTATTATTATAATCGTTGTCTTCATCATCCTTATTTTCATATTCATAATCATCTGATTCTGAACTCATGTCAGCATCAACGTTTCTTGTTCCTGTTAAACTGTCAGACACTCTTGACTTCAAATTTAATTCATTAAACATAAGTTTACTTAATTTTTCTAATTTATAAATTTGATAGTGTTTTAATAATGTTGCTATTCCTAAATTTCCAATTAATTCAATTGATGTTTCATGTACGGGTGTAGCTGTGGTTGTGGTTAGTCTATCGATGCACACCCACACCCACACCCACACTCCCATTTACACACCCACGTCCACACCCACACCCACACTCCCACTCCCACACCCACACCCACCCCCACACCCCCACCCCCCCACCCCCACCCCCCCCCCCCCACATTTTTGCAGTGTGTCTGTGAAAATTTTTAATACTGTCTGGCAAAAATGTGTAATATAGTCTGCGAAATTTTATTTTACGGCTGCAGTCGACTGATCACGCGATAATATTGGCGGTGAAAAATTTTTGTTTTGAAACAATTTTTCCGAAGACTTTACTTAGTCCTGGAGGGGGAGCGGGTAGGGGTATCTTCATCGCGTTACTCTCCCCTCCCCCCGGCATCACTTTTAATGAAAAATCGGAAAGTTCCTAAAAAAATAAGTGACTGTCTGCCAAGTTTTTGTGAAGTGTCTGGCAAAAGAAAAAAAACTGTAGCCCTCCCCCACTCTCAAAAACAATGGAGAGCCTTGCTCCCACCTACACCTGTTAGAAAAGTCAAAAATGCATTTTGAGCAATGGGAATATCACCTATGTATATACTTTGCTGACTTTACTATGATAGGCCATATGCAACAGAAATATTTATTTGTGTCCCAATATTTGGTATAATACTGAGGTTCAATAAAACTTCTCGTGCATAATCATGCGATGAGAGAGTAAATAGCGTAACAGTTATTATTATTCGAATATTTAATGTATGTATCGAGTTGATTTGATATTAAAATAAGTATCATGCAGTAAGTGCCATCATGATCGGATCTCCAGGCGTTATGTCAATCACTTTAAATGGAATGTTCGGGAATATGAGTACTTCTTCTTCATTCGGATATTCAGAGAGGGAACTAATGTCCATAGCTATTTCCTGATGGTGAATACAATAAACACACAGAATTGCTTGCATCCCCGGTACTACATTGCTTGCAAAATTTACGGCTACTTGTGAATTTTTCGATGTGGACATAAATGCTTTATTCGTAATCGTCTCGCCGACTTTGTACTGAACGAGGTCATTTTCAGTCATATGCAGACCACGAAAACACATTCCAGTCCACCAATACTTTCTCATATGCCAATTACCTTTAAGTACTGTCGCAAACTTGATGAACCATTTGTTTCTGTCCACTTCGGTGTAACCAAGCTTTGTTTGAGCATGCAAACGATTTAATCGTTTATAGAAATCCGTTTCAGCTGTGTATGCTCGTATAAAATACGTATAGTCTGAAGTTTCGACAGCCATGTTCAAGAAATACCGAATTTGATCCATTCCCGCGGCATCACTAAGTTCTTGTGCATTGCTTATTTCATCAGAAGCCATCTGGATATTCTCGAATTCGACAGGATTATCCCAGTTTCCGAACGCTGTATAGGCAGAGTGTAGACCTAATTTGGACCATTCGACTTGAGGGGTTTCGCCAACAAATCGTTGTGTTGCGGCAGTTGTCGGTCGATCGAACAGCTGTTTCATTTCACGCGATTGAGCTTCGTCAACAGGAATTAGATTAAACTTATTCAACAACCGCCTTTGAGCTCCTTTTTCCAAGAGTAATCGAACGACGTCTATGTGTCCATAGTGACATGCAGCATGTAAAGCTGTACTTCCATTTGGTTCAATACGGTTGAGAGCATCCAAAGACAAAGTGGGAAGCAGACGTTGAATAGTGCCCAGATCACCCGTACGACAAGCCAAATAGAACTCGCTTAAACTCATAGTCGCTTTTATCTGATTTAATTCTAATAAAATAATACCACGATAAATTTAACATTCTTCTCAACTGCAGGCTTTTTCTCTTCATTTGTTTTCATCATAATATTAAAGGTAAATGTTGACAAAAGAAAATAAAAAAAATATTTAGATCGACTTTTCTCTTCTTTTGTCAACATTTACCTTTAATGTGATGATGAAAGTAAAGGGAGTAAAGAAGATTAAAGTTTAGAGAATCGTCACGTTCGTCATAATATTATTTTATTGAGGGTTGGCCATTGAATTGATCAGTGACATAAATGCTTACTTCCAGCGGAAAAATGTCCCTCCACTTAAAAATGGTCAGCCGTAACATACTTCAACACGTATACAGATACAATTTCAGCGAAAAAACGCCACTTCATAGGAATAATGCAGATGTCCATAGAAACAATGAAATAGAAAAATGACAAAATGATATCTTCTATGAGAAATGTGACAGATATCCGCATACCTCTATAGGTTCTACTGCAGCCGAAAAATGAAAATGCATAGAAATAATGAAGATTTCTACAGAAAAAGTAGAATGGAAAAATGAAAAAATGATTTCTTCTATGAGAAAAATGTTAGATATGTCACTACCTATATGCATTCTAGTGCAGCGGAAGAATGAAAATGCATAGGAATAATGAAGGTTTCTACACAAAAAAACAGAATGGAAGAAAGAAAACATGATTTTTTCTATGAGAAAAACGTTAGATATGTAGAAGAGAAACGCTGAAAATGCCGTTTAAACTGTCATAATCACCCATTCTGTTAGGAAACGGTGATAAACGGCAAGAAAAAACGTGATCATCACTTTTCTTGCCGTTTTTACGTCTAGTCAGCGTTTTCAAGCGTTATTCACATTAAATAGTCTCTGAAACGGTTATATAAGTCATTTTCTTCTTCGTAAAAGATACTGAGAAATGTTTATGATCATCTTTTCCAACGAAAACAGCTGTAAATGCTCAAAGTAGATTAATCTTTTTTTTTGGGACTGGTTCCCATAATTATTTATATTATCATGAATTTGTATTTTTTATTGTTTCATAGTACGCGTGAAAGACATTTAGTCAGTTTGGAGCTTCCATTTATCTTTTGATCTGCTGAATTACTTCAAAAAAGTATTCGCTGTAGATTTAATTGTGCGAAAAATAGTTCCTTTGATTAAAGTAAGAATCCGCATAACATTGACATCATATGAATCAAAATCATGTGTTGGTGCGAACATTAGAATGTCGAGAAAATACAGGTTGATTTTATTGATTTAAAGTCTCAATTTTCACATTGAAAACCTAATTTTTTGATTATGTTCAAAGCTCGAAACGTACGATAAATTATAAGTTCCTAACATTCTCAAACATAAAATTGCTGCATTAGAGTTTTCATTACAAATTAGCAACTCATCAGTATATGAGCTAATTGAAACTCGTTTTATGACAAGCAATACAACATTATTAATTATGAGCTACATAATCCAATTAGAAACTCTAGCCAAGTCAAAAGAGAGTAATATTTTCAGTTAATATACAGGTGCTCAAAAAAGTATCCGACCACCCCAATTTAGTCTCATGCAAAGACTTTGTTCAAAAAATACCTTTAGAACGATGGACTCTTATGAAACTTATGTACGATAGAGAACTTTGTTTGCTCTATCCAATGATGGTATTTGAGTAAAAAAAAACAGCATGTTTCGTTATTGAAAATCACTTTTTGTGAAAACCATGAAATTTTCGAAAAAAGTAAATCTCTGACAAATTCGGTGATCGCCTTGAATTGAAAAGCCACATATGCAGTTTTGTAGAGCAGCTCACGGCGCATCGAATGGTATATAGCAAATCACATTTTCATCAAGTCTTGATGCGGTAAGAGTCCAAATATTGGTTGGGAGACATACAGTGAGTAAATGTTTAGAAGCACCTTAGACCAAAGCGTAGATGTTTATCACTTCTTTTGTTGGATGAGAACATGCACTCAAAGAATTTTCTTTTTGCTGATGAATAATAAGAGGGTGTGTGTGTGGGTGTGGGTGTGGGTGTGGGTATGGGTGTGGAGGGTGGGTGTTGGGTGTTGGGTGTGAGGTGTGGGGGTGGAGGTGAGGGTGTATGTGTGGGTGCGGGCGAAGAATTGGTAATGCCCTCACACACCATCTACATCTCACATCCACCCACATCCGCACCCTCTTTTTAAGTGGTTGATTTATTTTGAGTTAACTGTAAAATATAATATTCTCTGCATATACTGTTCCTGTTCATTGTAGTCATGATATAGATATAAATGGAGAAATAGCATTTAAGAAAGAAATACTCAGATAGTGTACCAGGACGAAAACTTGGGCAGGAAGCAATAAAAATCTGACAAAAAACGTACAGATTCTATGAAAGATATCCTAAAGAGAAGAGTGTATACGTGAAGAAAAAACACAGAAATATAAGTATACACATATGATAGAAGAAGGAAGAAGAAAAGTGCATGTGACTTATTTGAACAAGTTGAAATATTTTATCAAAAATCGTGATACATAAAATAGAATGCATCATGATCATTTGCATTTGATGTTATGACTAATAAAGTATTCTTTTCAATCTAAAATGATTTATAAACTACTTGAAAATGTCTTGAAACAAAATGAATGCATATATAGGAGCATGGGATTATTACATAGTTCAAATGCTCACCCATACGGCGTATAGATTTATGCTACTTTGTGAAGTTATATTAGTCGGCGTCATCATTTTTGCCAAAATTATTTGATACTAGTAGTTTCCATCATAACGAATACCGATCTATAGTGAATTTAGTGTGTAAAATGGAGTCATTTAGAAGACTCAAATACTATATGAAAATTTTATATGGATATATATTATAATATTCTGATAAGTTTTCAGTAGTACTTTTGAAAATACACTGCTTGCATTGACCATTAGCTCATATCATCTAAGATTGCCTATATGTTAATAACTTGTCTTTACAACGACTTCATGTATGGTTTCTAAATGCATTTTGCTATTCAAAAATCTATGGTTGAAATAGCATTTAACAATAATAGTAAACCAAGCTTATCTTTAATTAAATCTACTTAAATTCTACCAAGCTTAAGAACTCAACAATATTTTGAGAAACGGTTAGACTAAAAAACGTGAAGTGCTGCACTACTAGAATATACATTTTTACAGAAAGAGATAAATATCTACTCGGTCTACCTGAATTAGCTGTTCAAATCTTTTTTGAAAATAGTTTCAATCGACTCATGATTATGGAATAATTCATCTTCCTGAAATTAGTTTTCATGAACTTCACATTGCAAACCAAAATGTTGCCAGAAATTTCCTGGTGTAAATATTTATCATAACTTATTATTACTATTTTTTATAAATGTTTTTGATAATTATTCGCTTAGAATTTGCATTATAATATCAAATAAAAAATATTCTGCATATTCCACTTGGATTCTCCTCCAAAAATACAGCAAAAAGCAAAAAGTAAAAAAAACATCGTATTCATCTTTAAGTCAGTTTAAAAACTTTAACCCTTTTTGGTAACAATAAATTTACATTAAAAAACAATTATAACATCGGTGACTCCATAAATTGAAATTGATGATTAATATAAAGAAATTGGTAGAATACGGAATGTATTCTGATTGATGCAAATAAGAAAGAATAAGCTACACACAAAATTGTGTGTAGCGTGTGAGTGTAGCTTATCTTCAATTAATAGAGAACAAGAAAGAAAATTTATTTGCTGAAAAGTGTAACCAACGAAAGAAGAGGAACGAAAAAAAAATGAAACAAACGATAAAATTATAGATGGCTGCCATAGATGACAGTGTCATTCAATGAAAGAAAAAAATGATAATCAATATCTGAAATATATCACTGTCATCTATAGCAGCCATCTATAATTTTATCGTTTATTTCACTTTTTTTCGTCCCTCTCTTTTCGTTGGTTACACTTTTCAACAAATAAATTTTTTTTCCTGTTGTCTATTATGTCTAAAGTGAACTAGTACTTCCTTTTTTGTTTCTTCAGAATAAAAAGAAAAGTAATTTATATTCTTTAATTTATCAAAATCATTGAACTAATTTATTCTAGTGATGAAAATTAGTTTACTCTTCATTGTAGAATAGTATGATATTAATATGCAAATAATCTTTTCAACCATATCACAATGTTTGATATTATTAAATCTTCATTAAGACGATCAATGATTAATATTTTGAAATTACAAATTGAATATATTCATTATTTATTATGATGGACTCCGTATTTTTAAAAAAATTAAAATTATATCAGTGATCATACATATCAGAACTATTTCAATATAAAGAAATTGCAATATTTTGATTTTATTTTTATAATAAAAAAAAATCTCGAATAGAGTTTTCAATTTATTAGATTTCTACTACTTGCAATTGTGTCACTCTTCTTACTTATATGTATACATGCGAAAATCAAACTTTTATTCATTTATCACATAAAACAAGTATTTAAAAATTGTAAATTTTAACAATGGATCCATTCATATCTCATGAATTAGCCCCAGATAATCAGTTGTGATATAAGATTTTTACATTGAATAACCAATAAATTTCGTATTTAATTCGATCCCAATAGACATAATATTGTGATAAATACAGCGTCTCCTGAAATTTCTTCAGGAAAGCCAACGTAAATATCACTTATACTATTCAAGCGATTTAATATGTAAGTATGCTCTTGAAAGTTTTATTCTATGTATTTTAAGATAAATGTCTGTATCTATAAATATTAGAATTAAAGTAGTTTTACAAATGATCAAATTTTAGTCACTTATGGACGTGAAACGAAAGCCGAAAAAGTCGACGAAATTCATCATATCTTTTTGAAAAAAAAAATACAATTAAATGTTCGAGCTCTGGCAAAGGTCTGTATCACTCTATGAACAAACTGCACCTTGTACAGTTTCAATCAAAGGTATGAAGTATGCTGTTGTTCATGAAATGCTGCAAATCTTTGTGACAGGTCATGCACCCAATTGTGATTCATTTTTCACAAACATCATAAACTTCGTCGATTTTCTCTTTTGAATGTGGGTGTCGACGTAGAAGACAAGAATACTCACAGTCCTATCTTTACAGCGTGCATGTCGGTGTACATTCGACTAAAAATAAAAATCATCCTTTTTCAAGATTTAAATATCGTGTATCGAATGGTATAAATAACTTCTCCACAGTGTTGTTCGAACAACTACTTTCGTAAAATGAGCAACTTGCCTTTCAAACTTTGCTAGAATGTTCGGAATCATCGACATTAAACTGCATCGAATGATATAGAACACGAAACAGTTTTAAAGAAAAAATTAGGATAAGGTCTCTCTCAGGCATTTTAAGTAAAGAAACTTAGTGAGGGCAAGAAAATCATGCGTTCGTCTGCCACACAAACAATGTGCATTGTGACCCCATGCCTACATTTTCTTATTTGACGGTCTGTGTTAGACCAATAAAGAATATGTTGCAATTCCTTTAAGTCAATGCTATGTTAAGAATGAACGCTTCAATAATTTGTTGACTCTTAGTGTTACAAAAATGAATGCTTAATGTTCTCTAGAAATTGTTTTTTTTGAAAAAATTAATGAGGAAAATGTTCGATTACACAAAATCATTTTTAGTTCTTATTATTTTTATATTTTCGTTATGCCATTTATTTTAAATACATTTTCTTGATGAATCAGCAAGGTTTATTTTGTGTGTGACTTCTTTTCTTCCTACTACACATGTTAGACATTTTTTTGTTCTGTGGGTTTTTTTGTTACTTTTTTTTTCTTCTGCTTGTTGTTGTTCTAAAAAAATAAAAACAAACGAACACAATGAAAAGTTTTCATTTTTTCAAACACTCAATTCTAGATACTATTTTACCCAAGGATGACTAGTTTGCCAGATAGTATTATTTCTGTTTTTCTTGAAAAACGACAATGTGTATTAACAGATACAGAAGTGAACAATGCACTTGTCAATCAAGGTATTTCATGTAATGTAGAACATATACGTCGTCATGTCCAATTACTCAGTCCAGGATTATTTCAATTAATAAATAATGCAAATGAAAGAGTAACAATTCGTGTTGAACCTAAAGTAAATTATCGCTATTATTCTTTTTTTTTAATCTAAATAACGATACATTGTTTTAGATTGAAATCTGTGATGAATTTCTTAATAATCATTGTCCAGCTCAAGCAAAACAATGTGATCGACTTCATATATGTCGACATTTTGAAGGCAATTGTCCATCTCCAAATTGTCGTTTTCCACATGATTTTAGTAAAGGATATAATAGAAAAATTATTGCAGAAAATCATTGTCAATATGTAAATCCTATATTGCTTATCAAACTTCTTCGTCTTAAGAAATCTTCATCAGTAATAAAATTGCATATAGTTATTAAATAGTAAACAATGTTTGTTTCTTTTTCTTTGATTAGAGACCTCCGGCATCGCGTTTATCACGTACTCGAGGTTCTCAACCAAGCAGACGTGGTCGTGGTTATGGTCATAGTCATCGTCGCGGTCGTAGTTTTTCTAATCATGTAACTTCAAGGAATTCTATAGTACAAAAAGATGACCCAAATCGACAAGTCGATGTTAGTTTTCCATCATCAAGTCTTGCTAAACAAATGGATATGGAAATGATAGAAATTCTTTTAAATTTACATGATATAAAAATCGAAGACAAATTCAATGAAAATGAAAATGAATATTTTCGTCGAGTTACAATTCAATTGGGACGTATAGATGGTAATAAATTTTACCTTTTTTTTGGTATACAAGAAAATATATATTTTTTCGTTTATATTTAGATGTTGAAAAATTACTCAGTTCGCCCGTAATCAATCATCATGGTATTGATATAAAATTTAAGCATACTAATCAAATAATTGATAGAACCAGATTTCTATTGAAAACATCAATTAATAATGTACAAGATAAAATTATTTCATCACGTATGGAACTTTATATTAGTACTCTTATTAAAAATAATTCAATAAGTAAAATTTCTGATCTGTCAACAAGCACCGAACAAATAATACTTGTTCATTGTAATAGGGACATAGGTAATTATTTTTTACATTCGTCTAAACTTATATTTTCATGTTTTGTTAGATTTCGATGGTGTTCGTCAAGCATACAAATCAAAACAAGAATTATCAGGCAAACATTTAACATTAAATCAAGTTTATGAATGTGATGCTTTAGAAGTTCATTACAATGATACAAATAAATCTATTACTGTTGAAGATCTAAAAATTATTTTTGAATCGGCTTGGAATGATATATTTGCTTTTAATTTTCCAACAAATAATTGTGCTGAAATTGAATTTATTAATACCCAGGGTATGAGAACATCGTTGTAATTTCATTTTTAGAATCATAGAGACTGCTAGATCGATTTTTGATTAAAAATTTTTATATATCTTTGCAGTTCTATTTTGATGCTTCAATTCTCAACAGAAAAACATTAACACATTTAGTGAGAGATTCCTAGTTTTAAATTCGATCATCTTAATGAAGAAGTATACGAAATTAAACTAAAGATAAATCATCATCATGTCAAAATAGTTTGCAAAAATGTCTCAAATTTCTTTTATTTAAGCTTTTAAACGATGGATATCAACAGTCGAACAAATACAAATTAAATTTCAAATAACAATTAATCCAATACTTGATAGTGTTGATGAGAATAATGATACAGAAAGTATTAGTTCAACACATGCAGCACCATATACTATTGATACATGTTCAACTGCTTCTAATGAATTTGATGATAGATCACGTCAAACAACGATTAAACTTCGTCCTGACTGGGTTTTGATTGCTACTCATCCAAAATTTAAACTTGAATATAAAGAATTTATTCGTAATTAACTTTGAATTATTTTTGTACCTTTTAACTAATCTGTTTATAATTTAGATAATGAACTTAGCGGTGAAATTGATATTCATGATGATGAAGTAACATACAGTGGGTCGTTTCCGCAACACATTCATGGCATGAAAAATAATGTTACTCTTCAAGAAAAAACAAATAATTTCATGCGAAATTTTGCATTTAGAACATTCTATAAATTAGAATCAAGAAATATTGAAATTCTTCGAGCTAATGCAGCGACCGTGGCATTTAATCGTATTATAGATAATGATTATATGATAGCAACAAAAGTACTTGAAATGCCGGGATTCGTGCGTAAACTTTTTGCTAAAAATAATCAACATCATCAACAAGAACAACCATATTTGAAAACGAATACTCAGTCAAATAATAAGTAAGCACTATAGAAAACTCACTCGCTTACTATTCTAACAAAGTCATCAAAGATTTCGATTTACATTTATTAAGAATTTCTTTGTGAACAGTAAAATAATTCATAGTCAATCGGAAAAAAATCAACATTGAAATCCATCTTTTTTTAGAATTTTGAAATAATCTGATAGACACCTTCTTAAGCATAAAATGCCACATTCGAAGAATATTATCTCGTAGTTTAGTTACAGGTGCAATTCTTTGTTAAATCATCTGCGTATTCACATACAACTCTTATGGGTATTACTAATTTATGCTAACACCACAAACACCCAACTTTGTAAAAACGCATATGGGTCATCTTCACTAACACCCACAACTTGGAGAGTTATGTGCACAAACACCCACTAACACCCACTTTGTCCGACTCCTAGAAAAAATAAACCGTCAACAAAGACCAAAAAATGACTCCCTTCAACACTAACACCCAAAATCTCACTAATAGTCCACACAAGCACCCCAAGTTGTATTCACTAACACCCACAGAACTCAATGATCTACATTCTGACCCGAATAAATGCTATCCCTGAATAACTTTTTCTGATAAACTTTTCTCTGGAAACATCTCTTCAACCTTTGCCGTATCGACAAAAGTTTGTTTTCGTCCGAAAAATACAAATTGGGATAAATGCATAGAAAGATAGCCCGTGTTCTGTTCTTCCAGAAACAGTATGATTTTTAAATCGATACCCCTTTTTTGGTCAAATTTTTGATGATTTCTGTGATTTACTTCTTGAAAAACAGCATTTTTATCTAGAGGGGAGGGGATTTAAGGGATGTTTCCAGAGAAAAGTTTATCAGAAAAAGTGATACAGGGATAGCACTTATTCGTGTTAGAATGTAGATTATAGAGTTCTGTGGGTGTTAGTGAATACAACTTGGGGTGCTTGTGTGGACTATAAGTGAGATTTTGGGTGTTAGTGTTGAAGGGGGTCATTTTTTGGTCTTTGTTGACGGTTTATTTTTTCTAGGAGTCGGACAAAGTGGGTGTTAGTGGGTGTTTGTGCACATAACTCTCCAAGTTGTGGGTGTTAGTGAAGATGACCCATATGCGTTTTTACAAAGTTGGGTGTTTGTGGTGTTAGCATAAATTAGTAATACCCAACTCTTATTTAAGAATACATTGTTCCTTATTGAGCTTAATCAGTTGATATAAACCACCCAGTTCTTTTAATTTGAACTGTGATTGTCAGAAAATCTGATTTTATCCTCTCCCAAATGTTTTTGAGAGTTTCTCTTCAGCTCATGTAATCTAGAATAGAACTTTCGCAAATGAGTCGAATAAAAAAAACATGATATTCAATAACCAATTATTTGATTCGGCTCTTACGAATCATTGAACTACAGAACAGTCACACACACTTGCACTTATTTTGCAAGTAAAATATAAATTAATTAAAAAAATATCTCTCATTAATATGAAGAGAATCACACCGACCTAATAGTTTTATCAATACCAGTACTTATTTTATTTTCATATCACACGACGTTAACACTTATCTATTCGTATTTTGTAGTTCATCATCACTTCCACTTACAAAACCAAAAGAAATCAAAAAGTATGTTTTCTTATGAATGTAATTTAATGTACAAACTCACATTAATTTTATTGTAAATCTTTAAGTATTCCTGTTTTATCATCAGTTACATCTACTTCTATGTATCCTGTAAATACACCAGAACAAGTAAGTATGTTCTCAATAGATACATTTGAAGATCGTCTACGACAATATCTTCAAGAAACATTTAATGTCCAAGTAACATTTGAACGAACTAATAATAATAATAATAATAATGAAAAAACTAAAGGACTAACGAATTGTATTTTGATTAAATTAATGGGTCAAATGAATGATCTTGAAAATGCAACTAAAGATTTATATAATTTATTTTTATTATTACAAACGAAGATATTTAATGAAAAAACTAGTAAGAGAACATAAAGATTCTTTTAAAACAAAACAAGAATTTAATAAATAAATTTTAGATAGTTATTGGACAAAAATTGAAGAAGCGACACACGTTATTCAATATCATTTTAAACTTGCTAATCTAATTTGTACATGTCAACAAATATCTCCAACAACAGTTTATGTTCATTATTTTGATATAACAAATCCACAATTTGGTATTGATGAACAAAAAATTGAAGATTTAATTCAAGGTCAATTTAAATTAGCTACAATAAATTATGATCAACCATTATCATCGTCAACATTTACAAAAGAATGGATAGATATAGAAAATACAATTCGTCAACGAGATGATTTTAAAAAAAATATTTGTTTATATAAAGAATCAAATACAGTTTATCTATTTGGTTTAACAGAATTAGTCAAAAAATTTCATCAAAAATTTCAACAACTTAAAAATAAACATGATCCACAACCATGTAAAATTACTCTATCAGAAAGACAGGTACGAAATTGAATCGCTTTTGTCATAATGAAATACTCGGAGATTAAGGAAAATAGTAGGAACTTGGAAGCAGAAATTCAGCGATTGAATTTCGTGACCAGATTCCTATTTCCAAGTTTTCACCAGAAATCCACCGGTTCGAGTCCATGCCTACTTTAAATTTACCGAGACAGGACCGCGGCATGAATCAAAATAATTTCCTTTCCATCTTTTATTAAACCAAATGGTTAATTGAATCATTGTCCGATTGATGGTCAAAGGCAAACATGTTTCTATGTTTATGGCGCAATAATTTATTGATATAGTTCGTACCGAAGTCTATCATAGATTTCGTTTTAATTCTTACAAACGATTCAGAACATTGGAGAAAATATTTTAATCAAACTTTAATTCTTATACAAAGATTTCTATTATATTTTATTCTTCCATTTTAGCTCAAATATTTAACGTATGTTGCCAAAGCTGATTTGGTTAAACTTGAAAAACAATACAAATCAGATGGATGTAATGTAAGTTTAAATCGTTTACGTCATCATTGTGAATTTATTGCACCACCGGACATGCATGCAAAAATCAAAGATAGTCTTGAAGCATTAACACAAATACGTGACAGTTCATTTGAAATTGATGAACCTGGTTGTGAAGCTCTCATTAGTCAAGAATCAGAAAGACTTCTTACTATTGTGAAATTAAAATGTTTTCTTGAAAAAACTACTGAAACTCGTCGTATTCACATTTCAATACCCAGAGCTCGGGCAGCAAATCTAGACGATGACATTAAACAAGCTCAAAGTACTAGTACAATTGCAAATGAATTACCAAATAAGACAAGTGTTAATATAGGCCATTCGACAGTAACAATTTTGACTGGTGATTTAACAACACAAACAGTAAGTTTTATTAATCATTCAGAAAACAAAACTTGAATATCTTTAATAATTGCAAACACAGACAAACAGCAGTCCAAAGCTATGCTTTTTATTTCCAATTGGAATATACTATTTTTCGTGGGCGTTGAGATTCATGGTTATTTTGATTTTTACGTATACAAAATGTTGTACAGTTTACCATTAAGATGAGTATCATTATTTTTTTTATAATAAGAACAATTGTAACAATACGTGCCCGTAGCTTTTGCAAGTACTCAACATTTTTCGGACTGGGACTCAATAGAACTGTGCTTTGATACTAGTCAATGAAATTTTTTTTAATTGAAACTAGACAACCGCTCTGAAGACATCAAAGATCTTTTCCCAGTTTTTTGTAATTAGTAACTAGCGCACTCTACACATTTCTGAGACGAGTAACGCTCATCAAGTCTACAGTTTTCGGATCCGATAGGTAAAACCGGTAGATGTATGTGTCCATGAGAAATGATGCACTTCAATTAAAATACCATTAAAACAATGATAGATTCAAGATTTCAAAAGCCTTTTAAAATATTCTGATGTCTAAACAAAAACTCATTGTAATTGATCAAGTCTACAGAGAACAATAGGTTATTTTTATTAAGTAAAAGAAGATGAGATAATAGAAGTCACACTTACCGACTTTCCATTCTAATAATCTTCCAATAGAAAAAAAAACACGAATCAAATTGATTATTTCATTTTAGGTTGATGCCATCGTACTTTGTTCTTCATCAGAATACCTATGCAAGAAAATTGTTGACCAAGCTGGTGTTCAAATACAAAATGAATATAATCTCCTGAAAGCATCTGAACAATTTCCAAATACAACATCCGGTGGTACATTACCATGCAAAAAAATTTTCTTTATACCATGGTCACCAAAAACTCATGATCCAGCCGATGTTAAATCATCTTTAAGTACATTTGTTTCAATAGCATTTGTGCTTGCTGTCTCAACAGAATGCAAAAGTATTGGTTAGTTTAAACAAATTCTATATCTTATTTTTCCTTGTGATATTTAATTATTCAATATTTTTGTTTTCAGCATTTCCAGCTGTTGGCTGCGGAAAATTTAATTTTGATCCATCGATCATAGCTAAATATATGTTACATGAAACAAGAAAACAACTCACAACATTTAAAATAAAAATGAATATTTCATTTGTTCTTTTATCTACACAACAAAATGTTTATGATGAATTTATTAAATATCTTAATCAAATGCTAGTTGTAGATCTAATGGTATCTACTAACAATCCAACGAAAAAGCAAGTTAATAAATCAACAATAGCATATGATAAAAAAAGTAAAATAAAAAAATTCTTTTGTTTGATTTCAACGTTTTGTTTTTTGATTTAGTTATTAAAATAACATTAATTAGTTCAAATGATAATCATTTAATGCAATGTAAACAAGAAATTATTGATTTAGCTCGATCATTGTCAATAAAATCACAATTAACAAATAAAAATGATATGTTAGATTGGTCACAAAATACAATTAATAAATATTATGAATATTGTATAAAACAAAATGTTATACCAACACTTGATTTTGATAATGTTACAATTGAACTTGTTGGAGCAAAAGATGCAGTAATGTTTTAATAGAATGAATTCTTTTCGTTGAATATTTGATAATGATTTTAGATACATGAAGCTGAAAAATATTTCTATGAATTAACAAGTGAAACATTTAAAGAAGCACGTATTCATGCAGTTTCACGTGGTGCTATTTGGTCAATTGAATTAATACCTAATTCCGATGTATGGGAACAATATTCATTTAAACTTAATGGAATTATTGAAGATGCGTTTTTGAAAAAATATCCTCATGTATGTGTTCATATTGAATGTTTAATGAATAAGCCCTTCTGGAGTGAAGTAATAGCCTTTCTACTGAATTTTCGATCCAGCTTTAAGTATTTCTAAAAAAATCAAATAAGGATATTTTGATCCGAAATTTTGCTCATAAATAGTTCAAATGACTAGTTGAATATTATAAGAGTTTCATTCAAAAAGAATGTTCTTTTGTTGCAAAAACTGAATTTGCTTGAAGATTCAAAATCTTGACAAAGAAATATTCTTTTTTGTTGAAACTTCGATAATTATACTACTAGTCATTGGATCTATTCATGGATAAAATATCTTTATTTGATTTTTTCGCAGATACCTGAAGCTGATTCGAGAATTCAGTAAAATGGTCATAACTCAGCTCCAGATGTCTGTGATTACGAACTCTTTTAGATTTTTTCTAGCCTTTTCGAGAGTTCTCTGTAAGCCCAATATGACTTTAAACACTGAGTATTTATTATACACAAGGATTCAAATGAAATCAAGTGTCGGGTAGTAGAACCTTTGGGAGGAAAACTAATTTCAACCTTAGTCCCTAGAAACTATTGTTGGAATCGCTCATTTAGTGATACTCTACTAAAAACAACTGATATTCGTGTGTTTTTAGAATTGTCGATATTTCATTTTTTTTTGAAATTATTCATAATATTTTTAATTGAAACAACTATTTCTTCAAAGTTGCAATAATAATGATGTTTTCAGTTTCATAAACGGTAAAAGGTTCAATTATGCCTTTGATGATAAAAAATGTTTTACAGATAACTCAAATGATTTTGAGGTTTTGTGAAGAGTTTTTAAGATGTTAAGCGCCAAGAAATAATGCTCGCCAGATTTTTTTGAGGTTTGTCGCTTAAAATTAATCATACCTCAATGTAAATATACCAATTAAATTTCTAATTTTTTGAGAAAAAAAAATGAAGAGAGGATCTTCTATTATGTCCATCACTTCATTCTTCAAAAAGAGGAGGAGTAGTTTAAGGATTTCTATTAGATTATCCGTATTAATACATTGCTATACATAGATATTACAGAAATTTCATAACAAGTGCTTCATAGATCTGTAGTTATGCTAATTTTGTTGTCGCAGCCTAGTTAGCTGAACATGTAGAAGAATTTTTAAGTCTGGTACTCACTAAACTAATTGCAATTTTCAATTATATTCTACTCAGCAGCCGGATTTTCGAAACAATAGTTTAGGTACTCTGAATTGTGTTCATTCTCTTTTGATTCCAACGGTTCTGTTTCTATCGTTGCTTTTATGTGAGTTTTTTATTCAGAAACTAAATAGCAACAGCATCTAATCTATAGTTTTTTTGTGTCATATCAATGATAGTATCAATTTTTATTTTGTGAGTTAATCTTCTTCAAATTGTAAATAAAATTCATTTTTCTATTTTAGGTAGATTTTCAAAATGATCAAGAAGAGAAATGTCGAATAGTTTTTTCTGTAATGCAAGAACATCATGAAACAAATATTCGTCGTGTGCGTCGTAAACCTGTTGATTCAACATTACCAGATGTTAGTAAATTTTTATTTATAATAAAAATTCTTTTTTAAAATAAATAATGAACAATTATTTTTCATATAAGACATGGGAAACTTCAGATCAAAGCTGTAAACGAGTCACATTACAGCCGTCGTCAAAAGAATATCAAAATGTACTAGCACAATTTCATGTTACGATGCTTGGTAAATATTCGAATATAGTTAAAATTGAACGTATTCAAAATGAACGATGGTATAAGCAGGTAAAGAATTCAATATCATACTTTCAAAAATTTTGTTTTATTATAATTTTTTCAATCTTGATTTGATTTAACCTAAGGCACGAAGTATTTGGTTATTTTGGGACTACTAAAAAATAACTGGTTAGAGCTAGAAGCAGTTAATTACAAACTGAATTTTTCGTTTTTTTTTCGAATATACGCTGACAGTTTGCCTCTGGGATAAGATTATACAGCTATCAGTAAATTGTATGAAAAAGTTCAAAGCAAAATAGAATCAAGCTCAAACTCTCCAGATATTTTAGAAACAACATAAAGCTATGAAAGCGATATTATGAAAATTTCGTTTGCTTCTTTTCATGTTACTACAAAACAATAAAACAAACACCATTGATCATTTTAAAATGATCAATCCTTCAATATCAGTTGAGCGATTCTTAGGATTTTAGAAGAATACTTATAACATGGCAAAGAAACAATCTGGAGATGTCATATGAGATCAAAATAGAAAAATAAATAACATGCTTTGTAGAGCCAACTTTATTCGACAGAACTGAACTATTAAAAACTATTTCGCATTTTGAATTTGATAGATTTCAATCGAAATAACATTATGTGCAAGCACTATTTTGAATGTCTTCAAAGAATCTAATGATAGTTGTTCAATCGTATTCCAGAGAGAAAATCTAAACATATATTGGTAAAAAAGCGAAAACGTTTAATTTTAGCTATCTGCTTATGTCTCTAATCAGTTATCCTTATAGGTGACCGAGAAAAAAGTTTATTAAATCTTTTTTTTTTTCAATAGTATGCTGCACATCGTGATGATTTCAAACGACGTTATCCACAAATAGATTATGAACGTTTACTTTTCCATGGATGCCCTAGTACGTCAGTCGATCAGATTGCTCGAGAATGTTTCAATCGATCATTTGCCGGTGTTAATGGTAAATCGACGCGTACTGAATATAAGGAAAATAGGATCTTTCGTTTAGGTGTTTTGTACGGTTGTGGAGTATATTTTCATGTTCAAGCCAGTTACAGCCATCAGTATGCACAGCCAAATAGTGCAGGAGAAAGAACTATATTTTTAGCACGTGTTCTTATTGGAAAAACTTGCAAAGGAGATAAAACAATGAAAGTTCCTCCATCTGGCTATGATACAACTACAGATGGACAACATATCTTTGTCGTATATCATGATGCCGGTGCATATGCAGATCATTTAATCACCTATAAATGAACACTTATTTTTTGTTTTTTTCTCTTATATCTAAAGAATGTGAATTTGTTTTGTTTTTTTTTAATTTCTTCTCATTTTTTTTCTTCTAGTCGCTAATCTTGTGATACTTGCAAAGCAGTTTATATAGAACGATATGAAATAATATTTTCTTTTTAGAAGTCATATCATTTATATTTGTACAATAATGGCGGCTGCATTCGATTTATTTGATGAAGTTTTACGTGCATTTGATAAATCACATCGAAATGAAATGACATTTATTGAATTACATAATATATTAGTTAATCGGAATATAGATATAACTGCTGATGAATTAAATCAAATAATTCGTTCGCCAAGTCTTTTAAATCTTTTTAATCTTCAACCTATATCAAATGATTTATGTTTAATACAATTAAGTCCGAAAGTAAGAATAGATTTATTAGAAAGGCTTCCACCAGATTCAGTGACCTATCTTGAACTATGAGGCCGTATATGAGGTTTTCTAGAACAATTTGCAACAATGTAGAATACCGGCGTAGATATGGGTATTTTTCTCTTCTCCTACACCGATACCTGTAATAATCCAATCTAACGTGTAGGTTGTTACTTGCCCTCGATTGAAATAATCGTGATGCTTTTTCTGTCTGTTATTTATCCATACTTTGATCTACTTTCATCTCTTATTTCTCCTATTATGTACCTTGGAACGGCAGTCTTGGTATGTCCTTCTCTTGTACATACTGTTATCCATAACTGAAATAACCACAATGCCTCCGTACATAGCATGATCCATAATTATAAGCTAATTTTTGTTTTCCTCTGGAATTGTTCTTGCACTCTCTAGTTTTCTGTCATTGTGTTTACTGTATTTTTCAAGGTAGTTCTATACTAAGAAATAGTATATGGGAAACGAGAAAAATACACTAATCAAGTACACGTTTAAAAGCTCTTAAGCAATGTCTATTAAAGCAGAATTCGTAATAATACTCACACCCTTCTCTAGAAATTCGAGGGCCAGCAAATTTTTCTCACTTATAAAAGAGTTACCTATATCAGTTCCTGAGGGATACTATGCTAATTATTGATGCAAAGATGTTTTTAATAGAATCGTTGAGTATTGTTAAATTATTGTCACTGTTCCGATCTCTTCATATAGGAAAATAGGCTATTCTGTGAAAAATATAGTTTCATAGTGTACAATTTTTGAGAAAACTTCACATTGATACGAACTGTTTCTGTGACACAGAGTTGAACACACTAGAATATTACATAGTAAAGAAATGACCGAGCCCGAAGTAACAGGAGCAATTTTAAGTATGAAGAAAGTCACAAGAAAAACTATTGAACAATAATGTTTTGAGTACCATATACATATATTCTTAAAGGATTTTAACCACCACAGATATGATATGCTGGTTCACAATAAGGTCATCAAATCCGGTGGGATCCGTTCATTAGAGAAACTTCATTTTGTTTTTATTTTTACTTATATAGTTAATTCTTTGTGAAGCCTGCTTGCAGAAAAGTTGTAAAAATAAAATGAAATGTACACAATTACACCTATGCCGTTATATGTCTCATTTTTCAAATAAACCACTAGAAAAACCTTGTAGTTATCCACATAAACTTAGTGATCATCCAAATAATGTCATTCTATTACGTCGATTTAATTATGATACATTAAATGAAAATCTTGTTCTTAATTTACTTCGTCGTCATTACAACAGAAATCATGAACAAGTACAATAAAATAAACAAAATTTTATTTATTTATCTCTAAAATAATCATTATTTCTAGTCTCGAATAGAGAGTCATGTTAATACCAGTAGATCGTCATCTTCTCAATCTAGTGGTATTGATTCGAATAATACACAAGGAATAAAACGAATTTATCAATCAAGACCGCCATCACAATTAAATAAATCCCCTGCTCAATCATCTACATCAATAGATAAGATTATAGAACGACAGTTAGATATTAGTATTCCATCGGAACAAGCTGCACCAGATGTTGATCTTGAAATCATTGAACTTATTTTAGCAACGAAAAATATAATTATCGAACGAACATTAAAAAACCAAATATCGAATGAATTCTATCGACGATATACATTACAATTTCAGAATAAGCAAGGTAATTAATAAATTAGAATTAGAAAATTCTTTTAAATAATATATGATCTTTATTGACATAAAAAACAAAATCGATCACTTAAAAAGGAAATTAATAAAAATACTTTTAGTGCAAACCCTTTGAAAGAGCTAGACCAGTTATTTTGAGGATGGCTTCAGAATCTTTCGGAACAGTATAAGTCCAGTTGCATTCAGCGCCTTCTTCTACTGCTAAGGAACTCTGATGAAGGTATATAGCTCCCGTTGCCATGAAAGGAGAGCCGCAAAGCTTCCACTTACTATGTTTCTTTGAAAAAAAATAATGCTAGCTTTACAGAAAGAATTTATTTAGTGCATTTCCTACACATATAACTCCAGTGGTTATCATTGATTCGATCAACGATAAATTGTATTAATTGCTATTGTTGTGTACTCTCTATTAGAATATCGTCTAAACCTATTTACGCAATTTTTAACTTATCCAGAAAGGCATCCTCGATAGAGGATGGGAAGTTTTTTTTTGAATAGATATAAACAATGAAATATTGAAAAGTTCGAATAACTGAAAATCTTGATGATGACAAACAGTTTTATTTTTCTAATTATTAATTCTTATTATTTATTGTTTTTTTTGTTCTATCAGTTATCGACAATATAATTCAAAATGAACCAATTATAATGTATAATAATATACCAATAAAAATGAAACGAACCGAACGCCAAAGAGATAAAAGAATATTTGCACTTAAATTTAATACTGATAAAAAAATTGATAGTATACGATTAAATTTATATATTGAAACACTTATTGGAAAAGTTCATCCAAATATATTTGATATGACAATCGATAGTAATGATGAACAAATATATCTTATTCGATGTGAACAACCTATTGGTATGTATATTTATTATTGAAATGAATTTCAAAGAAAAATTTCTTTTTCTAGATTTCGAACATTTATATAAAGCATATTCAGCAAAAAATACTTTACAAGGTTATCGTATAACTATTATTGAAGTATATGAAGCAGAAGCTCTTGAAGTTTCATTTGTAAATGGTTCATATCATCAATCTATGACTGTATCACGATTACGTCAATTAATTGGTGAACAGCGTTGGCAACAAGATGTTTTTGCTTGCCTTTATATTCGAAATCAGACTAGTGCTGATATTGAATTAATGAATGCTGAAGGTTTATTTATCTGTTTATATAAAAATTAAAAAGAAAATAATTTCCTGTATTTGTATTTTAGTCACTGCTAAATGGTTATCAGAAGCAAATAGAATCGAACAAGATATGTCTCTTAGTATCCATCCGATTATTGATTTCATTCAACCGTTAGAAAAACATGAAGAAGATGATGAAGAAGTAACAAAACTATTTGCAACATCAAAAATATCTTCAGCATCTACCCCTTGCAATGTATCAGATGATTCACAAAAAGGAGAAAAAGATCCTGGTCATTATACAATTAAACCTGATTGGCGTGTTGTTCTAACACATCCAGTATTTGGTGATGAATATAGAAAATATATTCGTAATTGTCTTTTAATTATTCTATTTCGTTAATATATCATTATTTCTATTATTTAGGTGAAAACTTAAATATTTCGGTTCAAATAAACGGTTCATCAATTCAAGTACCTAATGAATATATTCGTAAAGAATTAGCTCGTTATACAAATATGTTCATACAAAAATTTGTCTTTCAAGAACTTAGTAATTTAGATAAAACACAAGTTAAAATTATAAAAGATAATTATTCCAGAATGGCACATAAATGGCAAAAAGATACAAATAAAACATTAATTGTTGCACGTCGTGATATTATGGATGAAATTTTGCCAACTCTATCATTATCTAGTCGACAACACAATAAAATATTAACTACACCAACAATTCGAAATAAACGACCAGAAACTCCTAGAAAACAAGAACAACCACTATCATCACCAATGAAAGAGTATTGAATAATTCATTTTTTTCTGTTATTTTATTGTAATTATAATCTTATAATTAGATTAGTTATATCTCAAACAAAACCATCACAAGACCAAAGTCAAATACTTTCTTATCCAATTGAAAATAGTGTTTATTTTCCTTTTTTTACTTCAACAAATCCATTTACTGATCGTCTTACTACTTATCTATCAAATGCATTCAATATTAAATTAGACATAAAACCTATTTCATCAGCAAAAATTATTCTTGAACTTAAAGGTCAATATAAAGATGTTTCTGATGCTCGACCTACTTTAACAAGTTTATTTGCATCATTAAAAACAAAAAATTATTCTGATACAAATGATTGTATGTGTATTAGTTTTCTTTTTTCTCTTTTTAAAAATTTTATTGTGTTATTTTAGCTTGTAAATTTTCTATACCGGATATTTATCGTGTAGTACAATGGCAACTTGATCAATGTTCAATTGTATCAACATGTAGTTTTTCAACAAAAAATGATGGTATTTTATTAGTAAGATATTTTGCTGATAGTCCACAATTTGGTGTTGATGAACAACAAATTGATGATATTATACAACATAATCTTTTCAATATTTCATATCATGTTTCAATAACAAGTGAAAAACTTGAACTTAATTTAGAAGAATTACAAAAAAAAATTCAGCAAAGATCTGATTATGGACAAGATATATGTTGTTTATATAATTATCGAAAAGGATCAAGAGAAACAATTCGATTACCTTCGATACATTTATGTGGAACAGAATCTATTGTTCAACAGATTTATCAAGAAGTTAAAAGAATTGCTGATGATTATGCACCGATACCGTGTAATATACAATTGGCGTCAAATCAAGTACGTACTTGTTATGTTTAGTAAACAGTGCAGGCTTAAAAATAACGAGTGCGTCGAAAGTTTTTATACAAAGTGTATGTTCATTTTTTGACTGATTAATATTCAGAATTGTTATGAGACGTACAACACAAGAGTTGTGAGTAAATATTTGATAGGTCTAACAATAAAGTTTGAACAGTGCTTAATAAAATGTCTAAGATTGAGATTCTAAAAACGGATAATCCAATGATCAGTTTTCTGTAAGATGTCTATCAAGAATAAGAGTTTTGTAGCTGGCTTTGTATAAAACGTTCACGACCTTTATGCTGTGCAAAAAATTGCTAATAGAATGTGTGCAAGAAAGAAGTCTATTATTCAGCCGTAGGTCTAAAAAAATTCAAAATGTGATGCAGTCAAGCGAAAGAAAATAGAATTAAACAAAATGGATATTTTTACCAAAGCAACGAGAAAAATCAATAAATAACAGCGTTGAAACGAATTTTCAATAGGATAAAGTTGCATTCCCTATCTTAGGATTACTTAGTCAAACATTCTCCGTTTAAGATTTATTTTTAGGCTTTTCAAAGATTCCCACGTAACTGCTGAGCTATGAATATCACAAAAATTCTACGCATAGATTTGGAAAAAGTACAGAATTTTGATTGTAACCAAGTGTTTAATACTTTCTACTGCCTAGCTTAATCATTTGAACAACGAAAGAATGTTTCGTCTAAAAGTTTTCAACGCTGTATTGTCGATGCATTTTGTTTTTCTCAATTGGCTTTTTTTTCGTAAGACCAAACTCGTCAATAATTTACCGTTGTAGTTTTCATCGCAGTTATCGTAGTCCTATTGGGTGAACAAGAGCTTTCATACTTTCTATACCGTTGCTATATATGAAATTATGCATAACCACATTCATTTATTTTATATACTTGTCTTGGATCCATGAGCTTTTAAAAAGTTGCTGATATATGATTAATATTTTTATAGAGGCTTTCTCTTTTTTTTGCAGTCAACAATTTAAACGGCTCTACAGTCAATGAAATCACGAATAGATACTTAAAAATGATACTTGGCATCATTGGATAGACCCTACCGACTGATATAAGAAATAGCTATAATAATAACCTGTAAAGCAGTTCACGCAAGAGTCTTAACATATAGTATTTCACGTTTAAGACAAACTCGTAAAAGTTATTTATAAACAGTATTTTTTAAATTCAGAAAGATAGTGCATTGAAATGAATTCTTCTTGCCTCAGCTAACTTAATATGACAAATCTTAAATAGAACAATGTGACGACTCGACATAAGATCTATTTTATTTCTAGGTTAATTATTTATTACATATTTGTTCAGCTGATTTAATTAAGTTTGAAAAAAAATATGAAACGGATAATGTCGATTTACGATCAGCATTAAACGGTGATACAACAAGTCAATTTGTAGCACCGAAATATTTACATGAAAAAATTAAATTATTTTTATTTGAAATGAGCCAAATACAAATGTTATCCAAAGATATTAAATGTTCCACACAATTAATTAATAATAAAAAACAGGAATTAAATGATTTAGCATCTAAAAATCATTGTCTACTTTCAATAACATTATCATCTCAATCAACAACATATAATCGAATAACACCTACTACTTCAAAAATTAGTTCAGAAACAATTAATGTATCAAATGGTGATCTCACAGCAGAACAAGTAAAAGATTTCTCAGAATAAGGCCATACATCTCAATTTTGAGTTGACTAGATTGTTTACCATGAACACTTCTTTCCAAGTTTGCTCAATAGTAAAAGATACATCTTGCTCTACTCTACAAAATGCATATCGATGACCTATACTTGACACTATTTTTGCGAAGAAATATGGAATTTCTGAGCACCATTGGTATCAGTCTTTTTTTTAATGAAAAGAACCATTTCCATACAGAATATGTAAAAAAAAAGAGTAATGTTTCGAAAGTTTGATTATCGAACATAGACAGGATATTCGGAATTAGCATGCAAAAATTCATTAGAAACTTGATTTTTCATCGTAAAACATTTCTGTCAAACTTTCATCTCTATTTTCCATCAGCTCTGTATTCCTTCAATTTTAATCTTCACCTTCCTCCATAGGGTTCAACATTTGACGGAAATATTTAACGATAAAAAATCAAGTTTTTAATGAATTTTTGCATGCTGATTCCAAATGTCATGGATATTTTCGATAATAAAACTTTCAAACTATTACTCATTTTTTTTAAATGTTTTCTATCGAAATCAGTCTTTTTCATATTTCTCAACAAAAATGATGTCAAGTATCGACTATCGATGTGCATTTTGTAGAGTAGAGCAAGATGTATCTGTTACTACTTTCAAACTTATAAGTAAGTGTTCAATGTAAAAACAAATCTAACCAAATCAAAGTTGTAAAAGTACATTGAAGCATGTAAGGACGTTGAATCGTTCGTGTGATATATGTTTGAGTCATATACTATGATGAGCCATATTGACGATTTTACTTGATGGAGTCCTTGAAAAATAAAAAGGTTGTTCTTCTGTTTGTGTATAGTCTGAAGTTCTTGTTATTTGTTCATCATCTGCGAAACTCTGTGATGTAGTAATTAAAGCAGCTGGAAAACAAGTTGAACAAGAATTAAATGGAAAAGATCTAACAAAAACTATGATTGACACATCTGTTGGTAATTTAAAACAAGCTAAACGTCTTCTGTTTTTACCTTGGAAACCACCATCAACATTGTCTACTAATCAAGATATTGATGCACTTCGTCGATCAATCTCGATATTTATTCAACAAGCGATTCAATATACTATTCAAGGAAAATATAAAAGTATTGGTATGTGTTTTGTTTTGTTTTAAATAATAGGAATATATTCTTGATTGAAATCATAAATATTTTTTAGCATTTCCTGCTATTGGATGTGGTGGTTTTGGTATACCAGCAGATATAATTGCAACAATTATGATTGATGCAGTTCGTGAACAAATGATTGCTAATCCAACTATTCAATTAGTGATTACATTTGTCGTACAACAATCACATGTATATGATGCTTTTAATACTAAACTCAAAAGTACATCAACGGCTACTACTGCTAATCGTAGTCGTTCTCCATCATTGTCTTATTTATCAAATCAAGAAAGTTAGTAGATATATTTGTATGATTAAGAAATATTTATTTTTGAATTTCATTCTAGAATTTAATATAAGTCTTATAACATCTAATTCAAATATTGATATAGCCAAGAAACTATTAGCAACTATTGAAAATATTCTCGTTTCATCATTTTCTACTTAACAATCAATCAAGAGAGAATTGTTTGTTTTATTTTTATTTTGAACGTGTTTGCTACAAGTGATGATTTATATTATTCATGATCTGAATTTGTTTTCAATATGTAAAATGATATGAAATCGACCGTAATGACAATAAGACTTTTTAATGCTTTGAATAAACAGACGAAAAGCATATTTGTGTACTTCTTGTGGTTGTGGTTATCAGCTTCAGCTACATTAACATTCACACCTTCATCGTCTAATAATGTTCTTGGGCCGTTGCTATACACTAATTAGACCTAAAGAAGCATACACCTTTCTCTTTCGGTCCTTGACTATGTGAATATTTATCACTTTGGAAACAAAGAGATGTTCAGATTAATATTTTCTATTTTGCACCTTTGACAATCGTTGATGAATGTAATAAAGAGTAAGATTAGATATTCTTATGAAATCGTTCCTTCTTCATAGTGCACACACACTTTGAGACAAACGCATCACTTTTTCTCGTACACATGGCACTCGCCACATTACCGATGAAACGAAAAATAATAGATAAGGATAATTGCTCCTCTGTTCGAAGCCAATTAAGGGATTGAAAATTTGAGTTTCCCTTCTTTCCTACGAAAGACTTGAATGACAAGTTTTTTTTCCTATCATTTTTATAACGAGTTAAAAATAGAGTAACTATTTCGTGGAACTTTTAAGAGTAAAGCTTTTTTACATCCTACGCCAATACACTGATAATAGCTATCATCGTTGACAATGGTTTTTCGACAGCATGAGAATGTTATGCCAATTCCAGCAAGTGCTTGTTTTTTTTATAGAGAAGTGAATAAATATAGTTTCTTCGAGACACACATATTACATTAAACAGAAGACTGTTCTATCTGTATAAATGTACAAGAGAAAATAGAACAGCTTTGTCTGTTGCATTCGTGTTTTAAAGATGGTACCGGTACCAATATGAATTTTAGATCTGCTGATCTGCTAGCAAACTGGTCGTTACCTTTATATCAACTGGGTACCTTTAGATCAGACTTATTTACAATAATACTGATATAATATAAGCTTACTCATAATTTCTATCGATTTCCATTGTGACTCAAGGAGAACTAGTAATGAAGTTATTTTCATACCTGACCATGTCAAATAAAATTTGTTCTGAAAGAAAATCAGCACGAACCATGACCAGGAACGTTATCGTTTCAGATATTAGATCGGTCGGTTTAGTCAGGTCTGATCTTGTACAAACTAGCACTAGTACTGATCTTCAACAAACGTTTAGTCAAAAGAGCATTAGGTATGATGGATCTGACTCTAATTTATTCTATACATATCCGATTTTAGTGCAATTACTGACTTCGAATTAAAAAGCTTTGTTTAACCTGCGCTATAATAGTATCACAAAATTATCTGCTCGAGTTGTCTTAAATACAAATGTATTAATTGTTGCCTTGAAGAACCCATCAATTTCGAACTACTGTATCTATTTCTGTGTAAATTATATTGTGGAGAAAAATTTCTTTATCCTATTGCATCACATGTATGCAAAGAATATTATGTCAACACCAAAGAATATATAAGGGAAAGTTGCAGTCGATTCTTCTACATGAACTGAAACTTCTTGCAAGAATCGACCAACATATTTGTAAATAACACATGTACAAAAAGTAGAACACGAGATTCAAACCACGAAGATGGATTCTGCAAAAAAGTTTCAAAGAATAGAAGACACTTTTGGTGTTCCCAACTCGTTCGTAAGCTGCTGATCTTCCTACTTATTCCCAACAACAAAAATAGAGTGCAGGATTCTGCATCACGCTATTCATTAGGTAACGATCTCTGATATAAATAAATATTATTTAAATAGCACAGACTAAATACAAACAGTATATTCGTAATTACCGTTAAGTAATGCCGAAGAATGATTGGAATCGAAAAAGAACAAGTGTATTCACTAGCTGTGAGTTCGAATAAGTGCAAAAAATAAAAATAAAAGAGTGTGAAGAGGAATACATTTATCAGCCTCTTTAATAGTGGTGAGGGGTGTGAATGTAGTTCATTTCTATACTCACACCCACACCTAAATACTCAATATCTTTAATTCGACATCTGATCGTTTGTGATCGTTCTTACTGATTTTTGTTCTTGCCAATTAGATGCTTCATACTAATAGTCAAGATTTACAAGATCTTCAGTTTCAGTCCTGTTGTTCAATTTATACTTAAGCCTGAAATGCCCACCTTTCGAACTACCATTTGTTGGCCATCTGAGAATCCATACGGATCTCAGGCTGATAAGATAGAAACAATATGCTATATTACCATTACTTTGTAATGGAACTATCACGGTTCTGAAGCAGATTTATGTCTATGAAGAGCAGATAGAACAACAGTTAATTTGAATGAAATTTATTCAATCCTTTTTACTTTGTTCTGATCCTCTATGATCAAAATGTTTAAGATTGTATATCGCATATGCAACATTCACGCGTATCCTAAGAAAATTTTTTGTTTTAATGATGATTGACTACTAACAAATCAATATTTTGAAAACGAAATGTTTCTACGTCTATTGCAACCAACTGAAACTTTTGTGTTGACAAGGAAAAAGTCTTATCGAAACGTTTCGCGTTTTTTAGCATGATTTTTTTCTTTCTTAGAACTGAAATTTCAGTAACATGCAACGTAGTTGGAGACTTATTGTTTCTGAAATAACGCTTTTTTTACAGCATCGATGTAATTGATTATTGTCACTAGCGTAATCTACTAGGTGCCTCTAAAGTAAAGATGGAAGAACAAGATTTTATCTAAGATTTCAATTCACCAAACGTTAAAAAGAATTTCACTGGGGTCTAAGGGAACCCCAGGTGGGCAACAAGCGCTCACATGTACTTTGAGATAATTCATCACATAAACAACGTGTAATAACGAACCGATGACATTAGCGGAATATTGTACTAATTTTCACCAGAGTATATGTAGAGAGGCGTAATTTGATTTGACATCGTGTATGTGTATAAGACTAAAATGAAGTTAGTTGGGGAAAATCGATTTTCATCGTGATGATCACAGAACACGAACTACTCTCCTGGGTGAATGGTAAAAATAATGCCATGTTAGCCTTGAGCATGTATATAATGCTTTGAGATTTGGTACTATTTGATACTTATTAATTGAACAAACAAGACAGAAATTCGATGAAACTCTATTTATAAGTTTTGATCAATTGAAATTGATTAAAAATCAAATATTTTGATTATAATCGATCAAAATCAGGTTTTTCTCGGTTTTTTTATTAATGAGTAGTCTATTGTAGGCCAAGACAATAATGCAGAACCAGTTAATATATTGTTTGGTTTCTAGATTTGTGAAGATAACTATGTTTAAAAGTATTCGTGTTTCTTTTTCTGTTTTTTTATCTTACAACTCTCTATAAAGATTATTTTGTCTATATCTGGTACATATATAAATTCAATTAATTCTTTTCATGTCTTCTATATATTGATCACATTTGTAGGGTTTCAAATAATAATCCATAGTCAAAGTCGAAGATTGAAATTTTGACTATTGCTACACAAAAAAAGAAAAACAACACCAACAAATTCAATTACTCTTCAGTTTCAGTGGATGAAGTAGAGTCGCATATTGAAGTGATTGTAACTACTTGTTAAGTCGTATTTCAACAAAAAGTATGAATAAACAAAAAAGTTTCGTTTGAAGATATGAATTCATCGACGACCATTGAGAAGACGCATCGAATTACAATTAATGAGCACTCGTGCTCAAAAAAGTAAAATGTTTGTTGTTTGATGCCTTTTCTCGTAATTTTGTATGAGTTTTAGAAGGAATCGTGTTTGGAGGCCAGTTTTCATTGGAATTATCGTCGGAGCTTTAATGGCTGGAATCGCTCTAGCTTCACTGCTTACAATTTATCTTCAAGACCAAAATAAAAGCAGTATGTATAAAAGTCAGCGTTTCGTAGAAACCATGCACACATGATTTATTATCTTCAAAAATGTTTTGTTATCGAAAATCAGTGATGGAAAGGATTTGGGCATGGATGCTAGTAAACCAAATGCTTACATCCACAGTCATACACCCCCAATAAAAATCTTAGCCATCATTTGTAAACTTTACCGAGGAATATTGAAATCAAGTCTTTTCTTCTAGTGAACTCATCAGTTTTTTGGTACAGCCAGGTTTTGGTCTAACATCGAGTGAGCCAGATTGCTTTTATTGACATACCTAACGACGATTATACTTTGAAAAACCATATTTGCGCATAAAATTGAAAATTTGGAGCGCTTTTCTTATTTTCTTTGGCTCAGACAGATGATTCTAGGAACTGGAAACAATCGGATTTTATCGGACTCACATCAGCCTGGAGGATGATCGAAAGTTGACTGGAAGTCACCGAAAAAAGCTAGACATTTTCCAATCAGACTCGAATCGATTTGCTTGACCTAGAGCGAGGAATAGGTACCTGTTTTAGATCGTAACTTTTAAACATCTCAAAATCTACGAGAAAAAAGTAAAAGAGTATCAACATATCATAGTCATAGAAGATATAGATGTGCACTAAAATTATATAAAATTAACTGATTATCTCAACAAAAGGATATCGAGAAGATGTTTCAAAATGTCACAAAAACCTTTGCTCACGTCTGATATATCTTGAAAAGCGATTATAGTCCCATGGTTTGAAAAGCTTTTTGATGAAAGAATATCAGTCATCTATTACATATCAACTCATCATGATAATATTTTTTGAAGACATTTATAGCTCATCAGAAAAGTCATAGAGCTGAAATGCATAGCATAAGGAATAAGGGAAACTTGAGTGATACGAAAGTCTTTTCTTTAAATATGTCTACATCATTGAAGCATGGTCGTCCACGAGCACAACTAAAACAACGGGAACGACCACAACAACGACAACAAGTACGACCACCACAACAACTACTACAACAATAACGACAACTACAACTACAACAACATCCACGACTACAACTACAACAACATCCACGACTACAACTACAACAACATCCACGACTACAACCACGACAACAAGCACATCAGCGACCACGACCACATCTATCAGTACGACAACGATCACAACCACCACAGGTAATAGTATCTGAGGAATATAGCTCACAAAAGACCTTTTAATATGGTACAGAGAACGAATGTAAAAATAGTAATCATCTGCCGAGAACTTCATTAAATTGTGTTGTTATGTTTCACAAAATACGTAAATTGATGAAAAGTAACCATCTCATCAACCTTATATTCTGATTCTTCTCTATTGAAGAACAGAGTGATTTCTATAACTAAGCGTTCTTGTTTTTCTGAGTGGGCCATTCGTTTTTGCAGATTACTAAAGACAAAATCCATGATGATCAGAAACATAGAATTATATCTTCTAAATAGAGCGAATGAATCTGACTCTTGATTTTTCATGTCTTTGGTAACAAGTAATGCTCACTGGATACCGATTCATGGAATTCTATACTGACGGAATAAACTTTTAGATTTAACTATGTGTAATGACAAAGACACATAAAAGATAATAAAAGACGAATTTGATATGAGAAATATTCATTTGACTAAATGGTAGAGCCACATCAACATTATTTCATTCGCGATAGCGAACCCTCAGACCTTAACAACCATAAAATGGTAGCAGTCCAATCATAGGTATCTGTTAGAGTGGTATATATGATATTAAAGAAAAATAAAAAAAAGCAAAAGAAAACAAAAAGAAGAAAAAAAATGAATTAACACCTTTAAAGAAAAAGAAACAAACGTAAACACAAAGCAGAAATGGAAATATTATAATATAAGATTATGGACGAAGAGATGACTTCACGAGAAAAACGAATAACGATTGACTGAAAAAGAATGAAAATTTCTTCTACTTCTAATTTGAGGCTGGAGTCTATTATGTCGGATAATAGGAAATATTGTTGAAATTTGATGAAAAAAAGAGAGTGACTAGAATGATGACATGTACAATCTCGTATTTATTGGAATCTTTTACTTAGAGAAAAAAAGTTGACTTTTCGAAGTTTGTTATTACTGAGCTCATGCACACCTCTAGGGACTGTTTCAAAACAATATCTTAGCACAAAAATATTTTGAATTCAGTTGAGAGTTGGATGCATTGGAACGATAACCGTTACTTTCGGCATCGATAATTATAATAGTTAACTTCAAGCATTGACGTTTTATCTAATGATCATGCATTCATAAATTCAAAATCTCTCTTGTGGTACAAAATAATTTTTTTTTGTTTTCATAAGAATGCGCAAGTATAATGACAGTAGGTGAACATAGGAAAATTTTATCCTTATATTAGTGCTATTAGTAATTCAATAAATATGTAAGGGTCTACAATAATATTCAGACACTACTCACAATAGAGTACCGATATAAAACTTTGATCACATGGGTTTTTATCTTACTAAACCACAATGCATGAAAGCGTTAAAAAAGGCTGATTATCAAGCAAATTTTCAGAAAATAAAATTTTGACGTGCCTCTGTTCCTTTTATTGCAGCTCCACCATCGTCTTTGTGCGTGACTACTACTGGCTCGTACCTCTATAATAATGAATTTCTCTATTCACCTACTTCTCAAATTTATGCAGCTGGCATGTTAAATAATCAATTTGGTGTCTATAAAGCGTACGGATATGCGAACGTCACTTCAACAGCACTTTGGATAGCACCTCAAACCTCAACGTCCCAAACAAGCTATCTTGCATTACAAATAGATCGTCATTTGGTTGTTTATACATCGGCTAGTGGAGTGCTGTGGTATTCCAACACCGTCAATGGTGGTATTGGAATTCCATTCTGTTTACAAATGCTAGATTCAGGAAATCTAGTTTGGACTGATTATTCTTCAGCAATTGTTTGGCAGACAAATACTGCACAAACGGGATAACTTCTTTCTATAATTCCTTGAGGAACATGAACTTTATGAACTCAAATCGAATCTTTAATGATATTCTGTTGATATTCAATGAAAAAATAAGATGGTCATATATCTATCGTTGTTTATAAGCTTATCCTAGCTTTTGCACCAAGCTATTGGAAAACTTAGCAGACTGATTCGTATATTCACACAGTTCGAAATAGTTTTTTAAATTTTCTTATAAAAATGTCTAGGTTGATTACTCACTAGAATGCAATATCTTAAAATAAACGCATGCATTGAGCATTATTGCCTCTTATTCATGCATAAGTTATCATAAAGGATGTGGGTGTGAGTGTGAGTAATAAGAGTATGTTAGGTTATATCTTTTTTATTAGAGAAAAGATCATAGATATATATTGGATGATGAATAACATGCTATGCTGGACATATTCATGCAAAGTATAAGAAAAAACCCTAGAAAATGTTAACTTTAGGACAGTGCCTAGGGAATGTGAGTATAGGAAAAAATACTTAGTAGGAAGAGAAAGTGACATATATATGATGGGAAAGAAGACTCATATATGAGTAATTTAGAATATCAAACATATATACGACGAATAAAAAGAAAAGCGAGAGTGGTTCATATCACTACTTAACAAGTATCCAGACACTCACACCCACACTCGGAACCATCGAGGTAATAGAGGAAGCTCAGTTCTCGCTAAACCGAAATCCTGGTTCTGTCACTGCTTAGCACCCATTAAAAGAATATCTTTTTCATACGTTTTTTCTCTCCTGTTACAACTGAGAAAAAAATCTATTGAAATCTTCATCGTATAGCACTAATATTAGCCGATATAGAAGATTTTATTTTTTCCTATAGCTCCAATTATAATTCACATTATTTCATCTTACATACGATTCTAAATCAACAAGGATAACTAAGAACTTCATTACGACATATGCTATGATGCGACTTCAAATTTAATCGAATAAAACTTATCAGCTTATATATTTGTTTTCCATGTATAAAAAATTATTCATTTTTCTATCTTGATTTTCTTCATGAGGATCTTATGCAACTAGATTTCAACGGATGCATCCTTGAGGCTGAATAAAATCAATCGAATCATGGCAGTTTGCCACACACTCCTCAATTAGGCAAAACTAATTAAAAAAAACGCGTAAAAATCGGACATTTTAACGCATTACGTACACATTATAGCTCTCAAAGGAGTTCTTCATCGTTCAGAATTCAAACATATTATAACTATTTGACGAGTTGTACGGTATTGGTTTTACTACATGCATTAACGAGTTTTTACCAAGTCGGATAATTTAACGCGTTTAAAACGCGCTAAAATGTGCGATTTTACTAATTTCTTTTCGCACTATATTTAAAACGCGTTTTTACGAGTTTTATTTTTGAATGAAACGAATTCTATAAGATAATGAGACAATTCAATACTTTATGATTACTTGAGGGCTAGTTAAGATTATATTTTCAAGCTATTTTAACTGTATTCCAACCTCACTCCAGTAGATGCATCGATGTTATGAAGGAATAGAGTTAAACTAGTTAGAAAGTATCTTAAGGGTCCCCCTTAGAAAAATCAAGTTTTTTCAAAAAAATATCGAAGTTGAGCTTTTATCATAGAAAGATGCAGCGAACATTCCTCTTTCAGAATATAGGTATATAGCTTTTTGGAAAATGACCGGATTTTCGAAGACTTATCAGATGAAACTTTCACTTCATTACCATATTTTTGAAGAAATTTTCGTGGTTTTTAAACTTTTTTTCAGTTTTGGAAACACTGCGTTACTACTTAAATTATCATTGAATAGAACATTTATATATTTACCAGCATGGCAGATGGTGTTAGCTACCTTAGGCTATTAACTACTTTAAAACGGTCCAATTTTATACATTAAAAATATACTATTCTAATATGATTTGTTCTGGATTTCAATGAAAAAATTCATTTCTATAACTTGTTTAGCGTTTTTCTCAAACACGGTTTCTAGGCAAGAAAATTGGAATAACTTACACTCGACTCGGCGTATGACCGATATGTCTTTTGTTTTAAAGGTCTTAATCAGAGCTACCTTTTCATCGGATGGATTTTTGATATTCAATTATTGGACTGAGAAAAGTCAGTTTAAACCCTCGTGGTATCACCTTTTTTTGCTTATTTTGAATACCGTGTCCATTAAAACGCTCATAAAAAATGAATGGAAAGGAGTTTCAAAATTTCATCCGATGAAAAGTTGCTCACAGAGGCCAGCTTTAAGTTGAAACCAGCCCGAGCTATGTATTCCTTATTACGGCGGAGTTATTTCGATTCTCCTGAGAGGTACGAAAACAAGCCGAAAGTTCGGTCTAGTCATGCATATCAGGCTGAAATTTTTACCACAAACGTTTCTCACTAGGAACAAACATTCCTGAAAATTTCAGCTCAAACAGCCCGTTCAAAGTGGGAAATCAATTATGAGGGGGGAGGGGGACTGAGGGCCTTAAATTTTTAATGAGCACCGTCTGTCTTCTCTTGTTATGAACTAACTGTAAATGCATTAAAAATTCATACGATCTATAAAAAGCACTTTTTAACTCTACTCTTATCTGTCGATAGATGAAAAACGAAGCAAAAATGCATCTATTGAAAAATATCTTATTGCTTTCACAGTAGAATATTAAATGAAAAAAAAAACAACTCCCTTATACAAAGAAATAAATATCATGTTTCTTGTTCAAAAAGCTCATCAGAGTGAAGAGAAAAACTAAATCCAATCAGCGATAAAGAAAATTTGAACAAAATTTTTTAATCCATAAACACTCAAAAGTTCAATTTTTTTAGGAACAAAAAAAACGTGTTTTCATGAAAATAACTTTGTAGCCACATTTCTGTGTATATGTGACCAAATTAGACAGACAAACGCACAAAGGAGTAGAAAACAATAAAAAAGTAGAAAAACTTTGCTAAAACACGATTCTTTGTGCGATTTTTGAACAAACCGAAAAAACGTCTAAAATCGACTGAAATTCACTGTTTTTGTTCGAGGAACGTTAAAGATCGACGGATGTCTGCTTAGGTCTATTGATCAAATAGTTGAAAAAAAAACGAAAAAAAACATGTTAATGCGATGAGTTATTATTACGATATTAAAATTGATTTATTATTGCTTCTAATTATCTACTGAAGTTAGCATTAGGATGCTTACGATATTATCAGAAGAGAGTTTTACAAGGCAGTGAAAATTCTCAGAGAGGCTAGGAATTCTAAAAGAATGTAATAGATCATCTATAGAGGCCAGGCAAATAAAACACGTTTGAACATGGTTTTTTTATTTGATATCTTTGCATCCTATTTTTTATAAATTTTGACTTAATTCAATAAAATGTTACATCTTGCGTTAATGAAAATATGGGTTTCGTTTGTAGATTCCAATCAACATATCCACAGTCAAGGCGTAAATTCAAACCCGATTAATCTTTCTTTTACCACAAATTGTTACAGGTATTTTTTTGTTTTTCGAATCAAATATCAAGTTGAATAAATCGATCATGGTACCTGTGATGATGATTGACAGATTTTATTACATATAAGTAACATAGCTGAGTATCTATAATACAATAGAAAAAGGGGAAAAAAATCATATGACGCCTTATATGAGCTTTCAAGAAAGTCATTGACTTTCCTGAAATCAAATTGATTTCCGGAACTCCAATGATGGTATGAACAGAGAATTTTTTTTCGCCAAACAATGTAGTTTTAATCAATGAAATGTGAAATGATATGCTAACACATATACAAGATATCTCTCTTGGTGCGGATGCCGCGAAAGGACTCATGCCGTACCCTTTTCTGTATCAACTATGCTCGTTTTGTCGAATTTGCTCCATATGCCCGATTATGCCTCCTTCTCAAAAAAGTGGGAAAAAATGGAGTTTTGTGAAACTAATAGAAGACATCGAAACAATCTGAGCTCAAGAAATGAGAATAAACGATTAGTGTTAGCTCAATTGTAATTAAATTTGAAAATAATAATGATAGGTCTCCAAATGAAATCAACAGACGAACATGACAAGGATTAGGTTCTGATCACATATAAAAAAATGTGTAACTTGAGACACAAGACGTGTAGTTGGGGCTCGACCAATTAGAGTCATACATATCACATCTTCGCAGATATTCTTCTCGGGCTATTGCCGATTCCATATTAGGAAAGGGAATTAAACAGCCTTAATTCACAGGTATCCATTTACTATCTCTCTGAAGCGAATCATATTTCATTAATATCTTTTTGATTGAGTATTGCTTCTTCAGGTACCTTTTCTTTTTGTGACCTATTTCAATCTATTTGTTATCTCGATGCTAAGCAAAGCCCAAACTTCAAGGTTTTTTTGTTTAATACTTCGTTTTCAGATCAAATAGGATCAATATTGTAGGAGCTGTACTTTTTATAGAGCAGAATATGAAAACAAAAGTGGGAACAAATGCCTTCATAATAGAGAGGGACCACCTATTTGTTAACAAATAATGATAGTGTTTGTACATTTCTGAACTTATAAAACTCTCATAATTCGGGAAGGAAGCAGTATAAAAAGCCAATTTTATTTGATGAAGTTTAAAATAAACATGAGAAAAAAGGTTTCATGTAAATCTATTAAGAGACACTGAAAATATTCTCGAAATGAACATAGAACCAGCGGTAAAAAGAGCATGTAATTCAATCATATGTATTTGTCTGTCTGAATGAATCATTTAGATTAATTTAGAATTAAGTTTAAATATTCTTAATAAACACTTATTATCAAGTGTTAAGTGAAGTCATTTAATTAATGTTTTTAATCAAGTGTTGTTATATGAAATGATCTACTCCTATTTGCCTGTGTGATGTTTCTGGATGAGTACACTGTGTTACTTTATAATGTCATTTTATGGACATATTGAGATTTCCAATACCATATGCTAAGCTTCCTATGCCATTTCTTATCGTAATATGTTTTTCTTTTTCTTCTTTCACAG